CGGTGCGGGGCGGGGTGTCTCTGCCTCTCCAGGTGATCTACGTTGCCCGGAATGCCAAGGATGTGGCTGTCTCCTATTACCACTTTTACCGCATGGCCAAGGTGCACCCTGAGCCCGGCACCTGGGAGAGCTTCCTGGAGAAGTTCATGGCTGGGGAAGGTGGGGCTGACTCTGGAGGAAGGAGGGGGTGAGCTGAGGGGTAGCCAGCTGGAACGAATACCAACCTCTGTCCATGCCCCTGCCCTTTTCCCCAGTGTCCTATGGGTCCTGGTACCAGCACGTGCGGGAGTGGTGGGAGCTGAGGCGCACCCACCCTGTTCTCTACCTCTTCTACGAGGACATGCAGGAGGTGAGACCCCGCTACCACTTCCCTGCACATGGGGCGATTCCCAAGATCTTCTAAGCCCCGCTTCCCTATGGCAGACCCTACACGGGTCCCAGACCCACCTCACCTTCCCTGCCCCTTGGGCAGCACACTCCATAGAGCTCTTATCTCCTAGCTCCTGAGTCAGTGCCAAGAGCAGTCACTGATCCCCCATTTACTGCTACTGCTTCTCCCTGGGCCCAGTAATGACAGAGGGCTGTCCGTGCCCTCACCCTAAGGAGCCAGATACAGCTTCTTAACAGATCACAGGGCAGAAGGCAATTAATTTTGCCCCAGGAGTGCCAGAGTACAAAGGACCAGAGTCACGGAGCAGGGTCGGAAGTGGCCATGACGTTAGGGTGGGGCCTCCCTTTTGTTTGTTCAACACACAACCCAAGCCTCCACTGAAGAGCACCCCCTGCTGCTCCAGAACCCCAAAAGGGAGATTCGGAAGATTCTGGAGTTTCTGGGCCGCGCCCTGTCAGAGGAGACCGTGGATCATATTGTGCGGCACACGTCCTTCAAGGAGATGCAGAAGAACCCCATGGCTAACTACAGCACCATACCCGTGGAGCTCATGGACCACAACATTTCCGCCTTCATGAGGAAAGGTGAGTGCCCACCAGGAGGGGCGCTGGGGAGGGAGGGCGGGAGCAGCGGCTAGAGCTGGCCCTGGGCCACTGGGGGCCTCTGCTGTGGCCAGGACCTCTAGCCTCCCTCCTTCCATCCCCGCCTCCCTCCCCAGGCATCACGGGGGACTGGAAAACCATGTTCACTGTGGCCCAGAATGAGCGCTTTGATGCCCACTACGCTGAGAAGATGGCAGGCTGCAACCTCAAGTTCCACACAGAGCTGTGAGTGGTGTTCATGGCACCGCTCCCCAGGGAGTGTGTGCGAGGGGCCCGACAGGGGCCTCAGTAATAAAGTACAGCTTGTGTTGCATGGAGTGTGCCTATTGGAAGACAAGCAGACCGGAGCTGAGAGAGAGACTGCCCGCTGGGACCAAATGAGGCCCCAGTTCCCCAACTTGCCCTATGTGGGGAGGGGTAAGAACCCAGGAGACATGGCAAAGGGGAAGAACATTTATTTCTTCACATGTCTTGTTGCATGCCCCCGTGAGGCGACAGGAGACTGCCAGCCTGCATCACTTTTTCTTGGGCTCCTTACAAGCCACCACGTACCTTGTAAGGCCGTCTCAGGGTTGGCCTTCCACTGGGGCAGTGGGATGATGCGCCGCCGGCTCAGGGTGTGTCTCCTGGAGGGGCGCTTAGGTCAACCCATGGCAGGTGGGGGCTCTTTCCCAGCAGCAGGGCTGTCCCCAGGCTTCCCTCGCCCCGCCCTTGCCAGCACACTCACTCTTTGCCTTCCTCATCAATGTCATCCACCTCATACCTGCGGGCGAACGAAAGGAGAGCAGTGGATGCAGGGCGGTGCACACCAGGTGGGGACTGGGGAGGAGGGCGAGGAGGGAAGTAGCCTACAGGGCTGGGCGTGTCCACTCACTTGTTGGTGGCATGGCTGTAACTGACCACCTCAGCCAGGATCCACTGCTCATCCCCATCCACGGCCTTGACCCGGGCAGCCACCTTGTCTCCAGGTTTGGCCACGTAGTCCCCAGAGGCCGGAATGGCCCCGCAGAGTGGGGGCGGCCTGCGGAGGGGATAACGTGTCAGTCCCAGCCCCACCCCTGCCAGCGCCCCCTCCCTGGGCCTGGCCTCACTTGTCACCAGGCTTCCCGATCCACAGCGGCAGGGTCATGGCTGACTGCTGCAGCAGGGGCATCAGCACCCC